GCTGTTGATTCCTGATCAAGTGGATGGCCTGCCTTTCCTAACAGTGGTCTTTCTACACTGATGCCAGCGTGTTGTAAGGACAATGTTATAGATACTGTCCATCCTGCACTGGAACTGATGTCCAGAAGTGAGGGTCTGTCATGCTGGTCAGTGTTATTTTGGGTGATAATTCTGCACTGTGGTGTGATGTCATGTCTTTGGTGGACCTTCTCTTCTTACCTTGTCAATCACCCTGTAATGAAGCATGTACTGTAAAAAGTAAGGAGAGAGAAGAAAGAAAGAATTTTGTTATTCTATTTTGTTCTTAAAAGATACTTATTCTTTAAGTAACTTAATTTTGGTGCCTCTGTGAAAGGAATTAAATAAACATACAATGAGAGCACTAGTTGCCATAGACGACTGAAACAGAGACTGCAGATAGAGAGAAATAGCAGCCAGCATACACAAGTCAAGTAGTAAACGAGCATTGGGATCCATAGTTGACATGGTTAGATCAGTTTGCATGTTTATTCTGGCATCACTCCTAGCAGCTAAAATCCATCTATAAAATCAGAATTTTTAGAGCACAGTTTCTAGAGCAAATATGTAGTCTCAAGTCAGACATCAGATTCCCTTACCAAAAATCACTCGCAATCCTCCGGCTGCCTTCTCTGTAGCTCTTATGTGATGATGGAGTCTGAGTAAATATTAGTTGGAGGGCCAGCTGTCAACAGCTGTGAGCACTGTCCCCTCTGGCCTCTAAGCATCAGTGTCACAATCTGCTGTCTTTAGTCCTGGGTTCTTTACAGTGAATTACTCTGCTAGCGAAGGAAAAAAATGATCTTTTAGTTGTCAGCACACTTAAGAGTGCTACAGAACAATTTTTGTTTCTGATACAGCGATACTATTTTTTTTTTTTTTTCTGTTTTGGGTTAGCAATTCTGGAGAAGCTTGAAAGTTTCATACATTGAAATTATCAGAAAACAACTCAGCCCTGGCATATCTACATTGTATGTAATTATACTTGTATACAGTAAACAACATCAGCAGTGCTGCTGTGCCTCAGTGAGACAGGCGGGTTTGGCAATTTGATGTTTGGGAGGATGTGGTTAGCAGGGGATATTTCACATTTCTGTTCCACACATTCCAAAGGCGGCTGCAGAGCTGCCTCCCTCCCCACTCATCCTCCCTGGTGTTTGGGAGTGTTTACATCATAGTTTTGGTTTCACCTCCTTCTAGGGATTGCAGATAGATCATAACATCCTGGTCTAAACATGGAAATCGGTTTCCTATAATCAGTTGTCTGAGGGTTTTATTGGGGGTAAGAGTAATATTACATTTTCCTTAAACAGAAGCTTACAAAGCAACAAATAAGCTTCACAAATCAGTTTAAACTATATTTACCCTGGCTTATCACCACAATGACTCAAATAACCCCAAATATATCTCCGTTTTTGCAAAACTGAAGCTAAATTGCCTCCTCTAACTCACAGAGCTTTTAGGTAAATTGAAACCAGTGAGCAGTGGACACATCCAGCCCTTTGTGTAGGTCAGATTTTGAAGTGACCTAGAGGGCAGCGGGGCTGTAGCTTCTTAGCACCCTTCATCAGCAGGCAGCACATTCAATTACACAGTCACCAAGAGACAGGCAGTGGTAGGCACCAGCACTTTTTGAGTTAGGTCTCTGCTCTACAGCAAGTTGTGCCAAGGCCTGCTCTTCACACTTGACAGCCCCAAGGTTTTCTTAGTTTTCTTCTGGTTATGTATTGTATTTCTCCAAACTCAGTGGTTGTCTTGAAGCAGTTTTATTCCTAAAGTACTATTTTCTGTGTGGAAAAGATTTCTTGGCTTTTTCCCCCACTATATTCCGTGCATTTTCACTAGTTTGATAAGTGATCTCTGATGCTTTCCCACTTGTTTCTGCTGTAACTTGAAACAGTCCTACTAACTTGCTCACAGCCACAGTTAATAAGATTTTTCTTCCCACTTCTCTACATTACGAAGGCCTGCTTAGTTATCCAGTTTGGAGCACAGTTTAAACACATTTCCAGGCCTTTCTTAATCATTTCTTTTCCTCTCTCTAATAAATATACAGGGCCCTGAAGGAACACCAGGAAATCCAGGTCAGAGGGGCCGTACCGGAAAGAAGGTAGTATTTTTCATCTTCCCCAATTCCCTTCCTTTTATCTGAAACTCAGATTTACACTACAAAATAATTCCATTGAACTGAGTCTGTCCCTGTTTTATGTCATGCTTCAAGCCAATTTTTTTTCTTGCTAGCCATAGCAATTAGAGTTGTCATCATTCTGCAATCAATAACATTCAGGACATTAGGAAATTTGAATTTGTATCAGGATGTGATTTTGCAGCTCGGAACAGTTTCTGCTGCTATCAAAAACTGTTAAGCTTTGGCTAAAATAAAACTAAATAATACAAAAGCATTAGCAGAAGTTGGTTTTTTTTCACTTCAGAGTTCTAGGTTCAAACGTTCTAAGAACTACAGCAGATGGCATATGTAAATGTAATACTCCTATTAAATAATGCTGTTACATGCTTTGGTTAAGCATAAACTGCATTTTGAAACTTAGTATCAATCTCTTATTATTTTTAATGCAATAACACCAACAGGGGGAAAAGGGACAGCTTGGCCCTCCTGGAGAAATTGGACCTACTGGTGATTCTGGCCAGCCTGGAGAAATTGGTCCCAAAGGTGCAAGGGGAACTCGGGGTCCTTTGGTTCGTACAAAACATACTTATTTAAGAGCTCATGTATTTCTGGTTTAGCAGAATCGTCTCTCTCCTTGAGAAGAGGCAAGTCACAGCTGTAGCAAGTATAATATTTTTTTTGAGGTAGCTGGAGATGCAGTCAGTGTTGTTCATAGCTTGTGTGTTCAGTACATGCCCTGGTCTTTCAGCATCTGAATGATACCGGTGCACCTTTCCAGACAGAAACCCATGGACTTAGAACAAGTCATCTCATGCTCTGGTCAGAGTCCTGATCCGACAATCAGAGCAACAAGATGGCATGCCATGGAAGACTCATACCTCACAGTCCACTTATAACCTCACTGCTCTTAAAACTTTCCAGTTCCAAGAACAGAAATCACGGGATTTGCTGTTACATAAAATGAATCTTAGCCATGGCTGAAACAAAGCATTTCAGATGAGGACTGCTACCCCTATTGAATGGGAACCTGATCCAAAGTTAACTGAATTAAATGTATTTCCATTAACTTTGAGCTCCTTTTATCACAAGCTCCCCAAGCTTGCTCCACACTGTGTGACAGATGCATAGACACATGCAGCCTCCACGCTAGTGAGGCAATGCGCCCATCTCACTGCTCCAAGGCCCAGTCCCGTGGCCACTGAATGCAGCACTGTCTCCCTTAAAACATGAAGTACAGAAGTAAAGTAACCATCTAATGGCCAATATTTTCAAGAGAAGGTCTCAACTTCCTAAGGTGAGGACCAGTCTCAACTTCTCTTGGCATACTTAGCATTTTTAAACAGAGTTCCTCCACACCTCTGAAAGCTCAGATCCTTTTGATCTTAACTATGCACAGGGATTGTAAGGTTAATAATGAAAATATTTTTTCCGCAGAACAGGGAAAAATGCAGTATTCTTTACCAAATGAAGCTGGACCTCTGTGGTTCTCAAATCTCAATATTTGAAGATTTTTCCAAGTGATAACTTTATAAAGTAGGCATTGTTGTAACATTTTATAAGGGAGCTCGTTTATCTATCACTGGTTATTGCATTTAATAGGGACACCAAGGAGGAATGGGACCCGAAGGAGAGTCAGGAATTCCAGGTTATGGGGTGAGTTTTTTATTGAATTCATGTACACACACATCCCTAAGTAGGTCTGTGGTACTCTAAATAATTTCAAATATCATTAGGATCTCTGTCTAGAATACACAAATATCTTTAGAAGTTCAGAGACTCACGTATTTTTATATGACACATGATTGCCTACTCAGAAATTACAGCCTTAAACGATGATGACTGTTTCTTGTGAGTTCAGTAGCAGTTGTTTTTTACCACAGATTTAAACCCTTTGTTTGTCCAATATATCTCACCCCTTGTGAATAACGTTCCTGTAAAACTACTACAACTATTTACTACAAAGAGAGTTCAGCAAACACCACCACTTCTGCTTACTGTCTGGCCAGGCAGTTTCTCTTTCAGTAAAAGAAACTGATTGAATGAGGTTAGTTAAAGGACGTAAAGGTGATGTGGCTTTCACTGAAAAATAATTAAGATCATCATCATAGATGGATTGAGTCCTGCTCTTACAGACCAGACTGCCATGTCTTTTTTCCAAACAGAAACTTCCATCAGGAGCCCTAACCCTGGAGCAGAAAAACAGCCTGATTCCCCTCACCTGCATCAAGCCCTGCCAGAACATTTGGTTTCTCGCTGTGCATGGAAATTTTCCTGCAAACAATATATTTTCTGCTTGGGCCCATGAATTTTGTGCCACATCACTGTTTAGCATTTTTAGCAAGCACAAAAAAAAAAAGTAACAAGCAGCAAAAAGAAAGTTTGGAATTAATTAATTCTTTAATTGTTTGTTTTGGAACTTAATTTTTGTTTTGTTTGATTCTTTAGGGTCACCAGGGTCCTCCAGGGCCCCCCGGACCCCCAGGACCCAAAGGAGAAAAGGTATGAAGATGGATTACATTGTTACACAGTTTGAGTAATTATAAATGGAGGAAATGCTACTGCATGGTCGTTGTTTTCCACAGCATACAGCAAAAGCCACCATTTGCAATATTTATTAGTATTGTAAGAGAATAGGAAAAGAGATGCAAAACTGGGGAAATGGATCATTCAGAGGCAGAATTCCGAATGATACAGTTGAAATGCTTCAGGTTTTAAAACAGAAGATTTTAAAACATTTTAAATGTTTTAAAACATTTTCAGGTTTTAAAACATTGTAAGAAACACGTTCTGTGGTATCAGAAAGCACTGCCCTTAGTGAGCACTGCTGACAGAAATAATCAGTGCGGATCCAGCTAAGTATTTACTTAGCTTTAAGCCTGTGAGTACACCCATGGATTTTGCTGAAAGTCCAACTAAGATGGACAAAGGTCTGCACTTAATATAAAATGCTAGGGGCAGGATGTTGCCTCAGTGCTGCTATTAGTCAAATTAACTGTTGTTCCTTTAAGCCTGAAATCCTGCAAACAGTTTTGTATGGTGACTGAAGTCTGTGTGGCCCCAAGGAGGTACAGGGATTCCCTTCATGAAGATTAGTTTCAAGTAGCACCTGACAGATTCTCATATTACACCAGTTTTGCAGTGAATACTGCTAATAGGCATTAGTGGTTGATGTTATAAATAGGTTCTGATATAATTTTCAGAAACGATAACTGAAAAAAAAATTATTGGGAGCTAGGTGTCCCAATAGCTTACTTGGTCGCTTCTGAAAGAGCACTTTGATGCACTTTGGAAACCCTAACTCATATTTCAAATGTATGCCTCTTTGCATTAAGTAACTGGTAAATATCATCTGGAATAGGTAACTTTTTGTCTATTAGTTTGGATGGCAGTTGTTTCATATTTAAAATTTAATAGAATTCAGGCTGAATGTTGGAATCTTCTGTACACTTGTTTATATTAAGTATATTTCTCAAAACAGTGGAAGAAATTTTCTTTTTTCCTCTTGTCAAATACCCTGTTTATCCTTTTTTTTTTTTTTCATTAAATAATCATTACAAGGACATTGTTCAAAGATCTTTCTTTTTATATATATAGCTGCCTTTGAGAATAGAGCAAATACTTAGCTTTTTTTAATCCTAAATATCTTTGGGTGCATGTTAAAATGGAGCTACCATTTCCACTATATTAAACTATAAGCATCATATTTACTGTTAACATCTGTAAAGTATGCTCTGGCTGTTTATTAGCATTTGAACATGCGTGCATTGTAGATGAGGTTGAATTACCAAGTTAATATTTTTTTAATACTTGTCTTTGTTTTAGGGTTACCCAGGCGAAGACAGTACAGTCTTTGGACCACCTGGGCCCATAGGTGAACCAGTAGGTCTTTCTTTCTGAAAAAAATTATATTAGTGCTTCTCAAGACAAGAGACAACGCAGGTTCTTTCTGAAACTTCATATCACTGTCTCAGGAGTCAGTACCCCCTTGTACAAAAATGCAGAACAATGGTCGTTTAATCAGTAATCCTCCTCTGAAAAATTCAGTCATGTGCTCTTTCCTGCTTAAGAGTATGTGCCCTGTGTTTAATTACACTAATGCCATTAGTCTGTGTTTAGACCACCACATTTTGGAACATATTTTTACCCTCTCTGTTTATCCTGAATTATACCTAATTGCTTTACTAACCAGAAATACATTCTTTTTTTTTTTTTTTTTTTTTTTTTCATTATCACTACAAAGCTAATTTAGCTGATTTAGAGACAGCTGCATTTTGTAACAATTTTTTTACTGAGTTCATATGTGGAGTATCTCTCTGCAGAAATTATGAACATGTCTGGTAAAAAAAATACCATCTCAAAATCTTATTAAAAGTGTTTCATGTTCAGGCTTTGATTGTGCCAGAAGTAATACCTGTATATCCTACTTCTCTTCAGATAAACCTTAATGTTTATTCCTCACCTCCTGAAAAGGCAGGACTATAAGACCCTGATGTAACTGAAGGTAGAATATGGACAAGGTTCTGAATTATGTTAATGCACAAGAGACTCCAGGCAATTCTATTGTAGCCAAACTGGCTCCGTAATGCTGACTGCTCAGATGTTGCAAGCAGGGCCTTTCTACCTTGTGTATTCCATACAGGAAACATGCCATGAGGCTGCTGAAACTTGGAGAGTGTACCAGCAGCTGTGTAATAGTATCTGTTGGTGGATATGCACTACAAGTGGCTAATCTATTCATTTGTAAACTGTAAAGATACATTGAAGTTAGTGGTGCCTGGCTAATTTTTCATTATGTGCCTTTACTTATGACAGGTGGGGAAAAAGGCAGTCCCTTATTATTTCATCTAATGATTAGCTGGATGTCTTTTGGAAAGCCCTGGCCACTTATACTTTCTATGGGCATAATTTGCTATCCCAACATTTTTCCTTTGACTGACTTTTGGTCCAATTAATGCAATGACAGTTAAAATTCTGGGGAAAAATCCCATTTCTTGTGGGACTGGAGTAAGGGCCTTTGCCTGAATTAGAGCTAGTGAGGTGTCTGAATGCAACAGGAAGAACCACATGACTCACAAAAATCATGCTATTCCCTCTGCTCCTGTGCAGTTCTTATATGTGTAGAGCACGCTAAGGGATTGAAATTGTATTTTTATTACAATGAACTTCAAAATTAAAGCAGATTCCGAGTACAGCAAGTCATTTCAGAAAAGAGCCCAATTTTTCATGTATTGTCTTACAGCAACCATAAGAGAGTTTTCCTCACATGTCTTGAAAACCAAGTCTCTTCATTTATTCATTGAGATTTTTAATTCAGATATCATATGTATATATAGGGGTGTAAACCCGGAGAAGTTCTACTGAGGTCAATACTCCTGTTTCATTTATGCTCATGTAAGATCTATATTTTGGCTTCTAGTCTTCAGTTACAAAATATTTTAGACAGTGACGCTGTCTGAATGCAATGCATTTTGTTTAGAAAAAAATCGTGTTTATTCCTTTAGACAAGCTAACTTTAGTATTTGTAATCCTCAGTTCCATCTTGTTAGTCTGTTTTGAGAGAAATCACAGCTTTCTTTTTGTTCTTCAGTGTAGCATTATTTCAGTTCAGCTGTTGTATTTTGGTCTTTGGTTTTCTATCTAGGGTCCTAGTGGTGAACGTGGAGATAGAGGAGAACCTGGTGATGAGGGTTACAAGGTAATATCTCTTGCTTTTTATTCTTTTTATTTGAACGTGGCATGTTATGGATACATATAGAGTTAATGTAGCAGAAGCATCATATTCTCTCATAAATGTGCAGAGATGTGCTTGCTGGTGCCTCACTGCACTGATGAGCTCTTAGAACACATGGAACATCTTTCATATGAGGAGAAGCTGAGAGAGCTGGGACTCGTGAGCTGGAGAAGAGAAGGCTTTTGGGTGATCTTAATGTGTATCCTGATGGGAGGGAATGAATATGAAGGAGCTAGGTTCATCTCAGTAGTGTCCAGTGACAGGACAAGAGGCAAAGGGCACAAACTGAAACACATTAAATTCCTTTTGAATGCACGAAAACACTTTTTTACTGGGGGGATGACTGAGCACCAGAACAGGCTGCCCAGAGAGGTGATGGAGTTTCCATACTTGGATATACTCAAAACTTGACTGGACATGGTCCTGGACAACCTTGTCAACCTGGCTTTGCTTGAGAGTAGGGAGGTTTGTACTAGGTGATCTCAAGAGGCCCCCTTTCAACCTAAACAATTCTGTGATTCTGTAATACTGAATGAGTTAACATTTTTCTCTGAAGTTTAAGCACTATTTCTTTGTAAATCTAATTCTAATAATTATTCATTAATTGTGTTTAGTCTTTCAGCATATACAAATTGGATGGTAACTCATGTTAACCACTCATGCAGTTCGTTTGCTGAAATACAAAAGAAACAGTCCTTGACACGGAATATCCTGTTTAAGTTACACAGATAATGCAGATAGACATAGTAATAAATCAATGAACTGAATATGATCTATGCTTACAGAAGTGCAGAAATGTTTAAACAATATGTAATGCCCACTTGTGGTTTGGAGTAGAGAATTTAAAGAAGAAAAGCTCCCTGAGGTCTAATCTCAGGAAAATGGACCGTAGTTATCTAAGTCACGTCAGTGAAGCTGGGGCCACCCAGCACCTTTCCTTGTAAAGCACCAAGATGGGCTTTACAAGGAAATCTATAGATCACTGAGCGTGACATCCTGAGTTACTTTAATTGCAATATGTTATATTTCTGCTTCCCAGGGTCATATAGGTCTACCAGGGCTTAGAGGACCTATTGGACAACAGGGGCCTCCAGTAAGTGTTTCAAACAAGTGAGATTTCTTTATTGGCTGTTGAAAATGTGTTTTCATCTCCATTCAAATGATTCTTTTTATTTATTTAATATATGTTCTTTCCAAAGGGAGAGCCAGGTGAACTGGGAGAGCAAGGACCAAAAGGAGAAAGGGGTTCAGAAGTAAGTAGAAAAAAGTAAAACAAAATTGCACTTAATTGGAATTTGTATGTTTTTAGTGTTCAAAGTATCCCTGGAAAACTGTCACATAAGGCTAAGATTCAGTGTTTGGTTTTGCTTTTCATACCTGTACGGACAATAAAAATATAGAATAGAAAATTGCATAATGAACTGTGATAGTAAACGTATTATTTGATAGGTAAGTGGTTTTACTTTGGAGTGATATAAAGCATTATGACAGGCTCTTTTGGAAACATTTGCATGATTTTAAATTATACCCTTAAATGGAGTTCCTTGTGGCAAACTAACTGTGGAAGACACCTAGGATTTTACTGCTCTGATCTGTAAATTAAGCCTCCTGGTACTGCACTACACTGAATTTTCAGAGACCTGGAAATAGGGAGTTTGCTACAGAATAATAGAGGAATAATGACAGAGCAAAAAAGATCAAAGACTAAGTATTTTCCTTTAGAAATAATAGTTCATCTTGGTGGCATGTTGAAAATAGCCAAAAGTATTTTATATTCTGCCATGGGATGCATTTAATTGACTTTTCAGATTTCAAAAGGTTTAAGCTAAAAGTTCTCTTACAATCTCAATTGACATTGCAACTTGAATGAGATATTTTGTCTGAGAAGTTCCACAGTGTAACTCTGTTAGGGTTTCAAAATTTTCAAGAATCTATAGTAGATTAGGAATGGGAGCAACAGAAAGGAAACATGATGTGAAGAAATTGTCAGCATGTACTCTAGCCATGTGCTCAGATATATTGCCTTTGACAAACTACTCATAGCACAAGATAAAATCAGTCATTCCTCCATCTTTCCCTTGGAGAATGTTTTCTTTGTGGTGTAAATGCCCCTCAGATTAAAACTACCATTTGCAAATATGGAACCGATGTCCAGTGTGGAGCAACCCATAAGAGCCTAAAGGTTTATGCAAAAATGTTAATACTGAAATCATTCTTACAGTCTTAACTCCACTGGCCGGACTGGTCCTGCTATAGCAAGCCTTACAAAGCTAGTCTTATATACTGCAATGATGAATCATCTGGGTTTACTTTATATGCATTCAGAAATTGTAATTAAACCAATATAAAGTTATTTGAATACACACGTTCCCATTCTGATTGGTGGACTTTTGTATGTCTGTCTTAACAAAAAGACATTAAATTAAGGAACAGAAAAAAAAATATTCTTTAATCATATTTACATTAATTATAAAACATTTGCAATTACAACGACCTTGGCTTTTTCATTTTATTGCATGTTATGTAATATTGCTGCATAGTAGTTTAGCATCACTTTTGCTTTAAGAACAGTGTTTAAAATAATTAATCCAGAAAATCTGGGAAGCTTTTTTCTACTTGATCTGTGCTAACAACAGTTATTCTTGTCCCTGCTGCCCGAGCGATTGTATCTTTTAGCAGTAAGATAAAGTTCATGCCATAGATCTTTATATTCTGTGAAGAATATTGTATAAACAAAATTTCCTGAGATGCTTTTAACCCATTCTGAGCTTCTCTTCCTTGGTGCTTGGCCTCCTGTGTCACTAAACCGTTTAGCAGAATGTTATCTGCTATCAGCATCACTCAGTTTTTCTAAGACTACAGATTCCTAGATCAGTCAAGACCAAAAAAAAAAAGTCTGGTTTTGAGTAAATTTTATCTTTTGTGTACATCTTAGATAAAAAGAATGTTCCCATATATGACACTATAGTTTTCAAGTATTCTCTTCCACATACACTCAGTTCATCTACATTGCCTGCTTTTCAGGACTTCCCTTTTTAAAAGGCACAGAAGTGCTGTAAAAGTGTACTTCCTTACAGAGGTGTAGCTGATAGAGAAGAAATTGCCAGATTCATAGTGAAAAGCTTTTTATGCCTATTGTTGTTGAAAAATTTCTGAAAACTACAATTTCCCAACTGGGGAAAGGGAAAAAATGTGTACAATTGTACCAAAAATTTATTAACTTCTACTTGGAAAACTTCCTGCTATCTTCTGAAATGAAAATTATCTGATCCAAAACCAGGCAATGTGAACGTGCATGCTAGAGGGGAACAATTCTCAGCTCTTCTTAGGGGACTGAGTTTAAGACATTTGTCAGTTCACAAGTATTTGTAACTTTTAGGGACCCACAGGAAAGAAAGGAGCAACAGGTCAGACAGGAAAACCTGGAATTCCTGTAAGTAACAAAATTCTACAATCTATCTTCAGGTTATAAAAAAAAAAAAAAAGAAAATAATAACCAATAAAACCAGATACCATTGGTATCTGGTACCATGCCAGTGGTACCAGAAAGTCCTGAAGTGACTTACACCAGGAAATGTAAGGGAACTCCTATGAAAATAAGAATAATTTTTGAAACGATGTTAAATTATACTGAGTTATAGTCAGTTACTCAGCACATGGAAGTGAAGTGCAGCTAATATAACAACACGGTTCTTCCCACTCAGAAGTTGCTTAATTAGGTCATTTTTGTGTGTGGCTTGTTGTCCATGTGCAAGTTGTCACATTATATTGTACAGAGCAGTACTACAGTTCACTCCTGGCTCCTGTAAGTTCTTTGAACAGCTGCAGCCTACAGAAGCCTGGGTCCATATGTCCATGATGGATATGGCTGGCAGATCCCTTGAGGTTTATTTCTTTCTCTCGCTTGCCCCGAGATGAAATTTTTAATGTTCTTTCTTCAGTTAACTGTAGAGAAGCTAACTTGCATCCCTTTCTCCCTGAGGGAGAAAGAGCAGGAAGCAGTTGGTGTTCCGTACCAAGAACAAAATGCATCAAGCTATTTTGGTGTCCTGTTAATAATACCACACAAGCACATATTGTAAATAACTTTTACTACCTTACTTCAAAACATCGTTGGTAACCAGAGAAATGCAGCTGTTTCACAGAGCTTGTACTTGCTGGGCAGAGTGCAAGAAGAGCTTTTGAAGGCAAGGAGATTGATTGTCTTCTGTAAATACTTGGCTCTTCCCTCTGGAGGGCTGCAGAGAGCATATCATTTGGCAGACAAAGGAAAAGAGGGAAAAGCAAGGCATACGGAAAAGCAAGGAGGAGAAGACAGTAAAACTGGAACTTGAGGAAGTCCCAGAGCACATCCCAAGTGCAAGACAATCCAGGAATCAGAAGTTAGAAATAAGATTGAGATGGCATGCTTCTTATGCTCTATATGACTGTTAACTATACTTTTTCAAATGACATGTGTTGTAGTTAGCATATTTTACATTTCTGAGAAATGCATTCATACAGAGATAATGGTAGAACTCCAGGCCCCTTAAGGTAGCGTATGTTAGTCTAAAGGAAATGGTTGTAAAGAAAAAAATCACTGTTCCTTTGATGGATGTGACATGAGGCTTTTCCAGGCAAGTATAGCAACAGTTAGCACAAAATTGTCTAAGTAAGTTTGTATATTTGATCTGTACAAATCTGAACAGCATGATTTTGAAAATGTACAATAGTGTGTCTAGTAAAATGAAGGCTGAAGAGACGTATGCTTGGATTTTTTACAGGGATAAACAGGTTACTTTATTGGGTTTCCTTGCTTCAGTTTAAGAATCAACACTCTTAGCCGTCTTTCAGGTCTGGCACACAGAGGGGTCAGTCCCATGGTTTCAGCCAATGTTGCTGGTAGCTCACAATACAGCAAGTCTGAGGTTAAGCCAATATAATTTCAAATGAAGCATCCTAACTCAGAGCCCCCTCTGTGAGTATTTATCCATGTCACTGGATCTGTTATTACATAGGGTTTAGGAAATACTGTGACTGAAATCTAGTTTTGTGATGATGAAGATGGAGAGCCTACAGTGCTATATTTGATTTGAATTTGTTTCAAGGGAAGACCAGGGCCAACAGGGCAGAAAGGAATAGTCGGATACCCTGGACCAGGAGGTGTTCCTGGCAACCCTGGCAAGCCTGGGCTGTCAGGGAAGCCTGGCCCTAAGGTAAGTTGCTTTCCACATTGCTCCTCTTTATATCATTTTCCATTATAAGTTTTCTAAGGTTAGGATATGTATGTATATATTTCTACTAAATGACGTCACAGAAACACTCTTTTGGATGGTAGCAAATTTCCATTTTATATTTAACATCTCAAAATTGGTTTAACTCCATGTACTCAGTAACATGTTTTTTCATTAAAAATAGTTGCTTCTGTTTATTGTTTGATGTTCTCATACATTTTCATAACAAATATTCTGATCTTTCTTGATGTGGTAAAGTTGTTGTATATGAAACTCTACAGAGTGTACACAGTCATACTAACGTTATCAGTATGTCTGTTATTTATAAATAAGCATGTTGAATTCTGAATGTTTCTGTGGGAAGGTAGTCTCATTTTTTTTTTCTTGATATGGAATTCCTTCTTGAAAAAGTGAATGCTGTGAATCTCAACTGTATTTTCAGTCCATCTGTAATGAAAGACTCCAGCATCTTGTTTTCATCAGAAGGAGCTTCTTATTGTAAGCTCAGAATCCTCAGAAATCACACAACACTCATCCAAGAACCATCTCAAGGAGTCATCTTCTATAATTAATACATGAATGGAGTGTTCTCTTCCTTCATATTTCAAAATAGAATTAGAAAATAATTAAATAGGGATCAGCACTAAAGGCTATTCATCTGAACATGCAAATTTTCAGATTTGGGAAAAATTTTAGGTCTTGTATAAACTAGTCCGTATGAATCCCTGTGGGAGGTAAAAGCAGTCACTGGTATGCCCATGAGTGCTTCCATATATACTTGAATGCACAATTACTGTGGACAGAAGATTGCTTACTATCCAACTGGGCAACTATTCCTATTTAGGAGGGTGCTAAAAGGGAATCTGCCTTGCATAAACCTAAAGAGGCAATTGATTTTCATGAGTGTTCGCAAAAGTCTTTCAGTGTCTGGGTAGGTGATCCCATACAAATGACATCATGATATATTTAGGGTAGGACAGAAAAAGGTTTAAGATGAACACTGAACTGAACACCTGCAGTGGACTATGGCATGGTTAGCATTCGCTTTGCTGACAGTCAGTGACTTGTTAAATTATAATAACTTGATGCCCCAGAAGCCTCAATCCACCCCACAGTTAAGGACATGTAGCTTTGTTGCTAAGTATGATAAGGCTTTGCTTTTGGAGTATTAGCAGAAATCTACATGATACTGCTGATCATTGTCTTTCCATATATATTTTTATGTACTATCAGTGTGTATCCATAAATACTGAAAGCATTAAATAGCTTTGACTGATTTTGTTATATGCCTGTTTTAGCATACAATGAAAAAACATGTTTGGTTGTTCTACTTGTAATCAGTTCTTTTCAATTTAAGGGTAATAAAGGAAACTCAGGCTTACCAGGTCTGGCAGGTTATCCTGGAGCTCGAGGTCCCAAGGGATTGCCAGGCATTCCAGGGCCCATGGGAGCACCTGGACTAAAGGTACATATATGGGATCTTGTTTAAGTACAGTGTTACTGATACGTCTTAGTCTTCATACTGCATCCAGTGACTGTGGAACCACCAGGCTACTGTTAATCATATGAGTAACTGATATCAAAACTTATGTGAAGGGCAAGACTGCAATTTTTGCTGACTTCATTTCTGCAAACTTTGATTTGAAAACAGAGTTCCTATCCGTCTGTATGGTATTCCCAGCTCCAGAAGCCATTCAAAACACTTTGTATTTATTCATCCAAAGCTTTAGGGACAAATGTTTACTGACTTTTCTTTTTAAACTTCTGTAACTACTAGAACAGTCTGGATGATTTGAACATATAAGCAAACTGTTAGCAGAGAAGTACTGTAATTTCAAGCCTGAGTCCCAAGGTTGAGGGCTAACAAGCATGTCTGGGATGTACATTTATCATAGAACTTAAACTGTTCTTGCTCAGCCCTGTCAGAAAGAAAGAAATCTGAGAGTGCTCCATTTTCCAGGCAGTTCCAGGTACCTGACATCAGCATATCCTCAGTTTCTACTGACAATATTGATTAGACTAATTCCAGTGGTAAAAGAAGCAAAGAATGGAAACATTACAGCTAATTTTCTCCATTTAGAATAGGATTTTTCATCTAAAATCATGATTTTCAGTGCTCTGAGATTTTATTCATAAGCAGTTTTTAAAGCCTTGTTACTTGAAAACTAGAGGAGGAAAATACACTCTCTGTTATCTTTTCATGTAAATAATTCGGTATAAACTGCAAATGCTCCCAGTCTGGACTTTGCTCCTTTGTCTAGACAATGAGCTGTAGGAGGTAGTTGCAGCTCAGAAAATGCTTGCAATCTGAAAAAGGAATAGATTAGGTGAGGGAGAATGGTTACCGCATTGTGTAAAATAAAAACTAAGAGTAGACATGCTGAGTCAGACCAAAAGTCTGTCTTTGTTAGAGCAGAAAGGTAACACCTAGGAAAGGGCATAAGCACAAAGCAAACACAAAAGGTATATATTCCCAGCCTTAACTGCAGCTCAGTAAGCTCCTGAGCTAGACATGTTTTCTAAGTATTTGATAATCTTCAGAGGATTTCTCTTGCATGAACTTGTCTAGTTTCCATTTGAATTGATGTAAACGTTTCATCTAACAGCAAGGAGTTCCACAACTATACTATGCCTTGATCAGAGCATTCATTTTCAATTTACTTTTAACCTTCCTGTCCTGTATTTCATTCTGTGCATTTTATTTCTTGTACTGGGAGATACCATACTGGAAATTATCCAATATGTATGGGTTTTATATGTTTCCATGTCAAGAAAAAGTCAAGTCACTTTTAGTGAAGCTATAATTATTGAAAGCATTACTGATGGAAATAAAATTAATAGAACAGGTTTATTTCTTAGAGAGAAAGCGTGTGCCACACTTCTGCCAGGAAACCCATCTTTAAATTTATAACTGTTGTATTTGTAATAAGGGATATATTATCTTCCTATTCACAGGGTGAGAAAGGGCTTCTGGGTCATCCAGGAAAGCGAGGCAAAAGAGGCCTTCCAGGATCACAGGGTGACCAAGGACCAGCAGGAGATGCTGGACTGAAAGGACAGACTGTATGTAACCATAGCTGTTGATGCAAAACAACTAGTCCAGGAGTTAACAACGTGAAATAATAATAAGGATGCTTGCTCCTCTTACAGGGAGAAGATGGAGATCAAGGTTTGATGGGGTTTCAAGGATTTCCAGGTCCAAAGGTATGTGCTCATTCTTTTCTGTTAGATCTTAAGCCATTTACAGAGTGAGAACATCAGGAAAGCATGGAATTAATCGGCTTTAACAATAATTTGTTCAAAATCTATCTGAACTTTTGGAACATTGTAGGCATAACTGTGTACTCCATGTACAAAGGCGAATGTTCAGGATCAATGTGCTTGGTATTTTCACTGTTACTACTCTCAGAAATTACTATTTCCACTGATTACAAGAGATGAAACAAATGGATAGCTAATGTTCATGTTTGACTAAACTGTTCCTTTGCATTTTCAGGGTCCTGCAGGGGACATCGGCTTAGTTGGAATTCTGGGCCCAAAAGGTCCAACAGGCCAAGTTGTAAGTGTTTCATTCCACAAAAGAGATTGTCAGGATGGCTTGCAAGTGGCACATGTTTTTAATTTAGAGAATCCTATTTTTTCTTATTAACAAGACCAGAACCCTGTAGCCAAACCTTTCTCTCTGAGACTATGACTCCACTAGAAGCCCTTTGCCTGTACTGCAACATGGGTACAGATACACAAGCAGAGCTGAACTCTCAATCTTGAAGGAAAAAGGCAAGCTCTGCTCACAAAGCGTGGCTCTCCTAGCATAATTTTATCTACACAAGTATCCTTATCGCTGGCATATCTTTGTGTATTGGGTTGAACATTCTGTTTCTTCTTACTGGCAACAATGCTGGTTGTATAACTCTGTCCTACAGTAAAACAAAACAGGTCCAAACTTTGCCTCCAGTAAGGCAGAGTGGTGCTCAGGCATTATTGAGTAATTGGTAGAAAATAAATATTTTATTTTTATCTATCAGGTTACTAACTTGCATTAGTTCATTCTGCATGAGACATTCTTCATGACATTCTACTTTGCTACTCACCAAAAATGTGGAAGGATTCTTAGTATTTTGTAATATTGAGGAGTGTGCATCCAGCGTACAGCATCAGGTGAAGAAGGGGGAAAGGTTGCAGTACGGAAGGCCTTTCTACGAAATGTTCTTCTCTTACTGCTGCCATTGCCATCACAAAACTGAATTAGTTCAGTTAACTAGATGCAGCAGCAGCTTTAAATACCTGTTCTAATAGCTGCTTTCTTTTTCTAAACATTCCTATATAAGATAAACACTGGAAATGAGCACTTTGCTCTAAGTGAAATGGAACAAGAAAGTAACATTTTAGCAGTACTTACTGGTGGCCTTACAAGAGTACTTGTGGGCGGTAATACAGCTCAAGCTATAGCTGATTGTAGCTCAATAAATATGTGGTCTTTGGTAATCAATTTCCACTGGTTTCAGTGCATCAGATTTCACATAAAAGAATGTGTGTGGGCTTTCCAAGCATAAATATTATTAATTATTAAAATAATTAGCGTGACGATTTTGTAGCAATGTTCGCTCAATATTCAGAAAAACAGTATCACCTTGCCAGGGCTGTGTGCTGAGCAACTTTAAACCAGGAAACCTCATAAGGTTTTTCTTCATTTTGAAAACATGGTGGACTAATAAATTCTTTGCTTGTTTACAGGGATATATTGGCCCTGTTGGTCAAGAAGGCATAACAGGCCCAACTGGCAGGCCTGTAAGTTTCCCTTCTCTTTTGCGTAATTTGGTTATTTCACCTATCCTTATTTTTAATAATCTGTTTTGCAACTAGCAACCTTCTAATTTTTCCATTTGCAAATAGCAGCTAGCTGGACCGTCTTCATATTATACCACACTGGTGAGTGAATGTTGGTGACTCCAGCAGTTGTGATACAAACAAGAAGAAAATAATTACAAAAACCAATGACAGTCATTGCAATGGCCTTCTGTCTAAGTACATATGTAAAGGCCATGTCTACAGGGGCAGTGGGCGAGTCAATGTATAAAACAGCACATAGTAACTACCACTTGGATATTCTTTCTCAGCCTTAGATCTGAGACATATCTAGATAGTATCCACACACTTGGTTTCAATGTAGTTTATTTTTATCTGTTCATTGGGCTAAACTGTCCAGGATGCTCCTCTAGACATGCTAGGAGTACCCACAAGGCCTTGTTGGGGTGTTCCAGGTGCTGGTGAGGTCCCTGTTACAACTCAATCATCTTCTTAGCCTTTCTGACAACCTTCACCTCCAGGATCCCTGCAGTGGGAGAGCTCTGCCCTTATCCCTGTTTCCATCCTTTGTTGAACTCCCTGTGCCAGAGGGAGAGCAGTGGCTCATGTCTGCAGACTACCCAGACATGTAAGGTAGTTTTAGAAGCTCTTTGTACCACCCAAGTTCCTCTGTCTGATCAGCAAGACTTAGAGTAAATGGGAATATCTAAAAATTGAAATAATAATAATTAAAATAACAGGAATATATAATAAAAGTAATAAATACAAATATTTACAAGGGAAAAAGAAAGGAGAAGGGAAATGTTCCTTCGATAATTAGACCATTCTTTCTGTCTGTTGGGAAAAAGACAGTACTTTAAGCCTTGCTGCACTTTTTCAGTCCACTCAGGAGGAAAACTTTACAGTTGCATATACTTGTATTAAGGCTTTTAATAAACTTCATATTGAATATAATAGCTTGCCATTATCATTAAGAAAGCACTGCAGCTGAAGATGTGTTCCGAAATGCTGCTATCAAGATGCAAAATTCTTCCAGATAAGAATTGTAAGATTGTTACCGTCTTAAGAAACACAATTTAAGTGCAAAACTAGCTAAAAATGCCATGGAGATAGAACAACAGTATCTAATCTGACTGTGAGAGGAGAACTAATGGGGTAATAAAAGCAAATACATTAACTGATGGATTTCTTCAGTGATGGAGAGTACTGAATTTTGTTCTCAACTGTTAAGATGGTGAAACACTGTTCTATTACAGTGGATCAAATTGTAGAGGGTACAGCTGATTGACAGGGAGAACACTGATAGTTAAAATTACTGAGGAAAAAAACATTTACAATCTGAAGAAAACAGCTTTTGACATACAGGAATTACAAGATGTTTTCAAGTACTTTATTTTCCTAATAGTACAGAAAAATTAAAGCCCCACAGCTGTAAATACTTCCACAGATGAGACTGGACTTTTCACGTGAGCAGAATAGCTCTCATGGATATTAATATGCTTATTTTGGTCCTAGGCAGCTAGAAAGCATACTGGATTGACAGCTTCTTTTTCTTACAGGGACCAAGAGGTGAAAAGGGCACAAGGGGTGAAATGGTAAGATGAAACAACTTTCATGCTTTCAGTTTTTTGGCTATGTAAAAAGTATTCCTGTGTTACTCTGAATGTACTCTTGCATTCTCTGAATGCCAGACAGTCATGTTGTGTTCCTGGAGAGTGCTGGCCATGAAAGCTGGTAGCATGAGTCAAGTCTGACATGTCAGGCAGTATGGCCCCTGATCATATAGAAGTCACGTACTTCACATCTGTCCCAATTCAGATCTAAAAGAAAAACCCTTTGTCACATTCGTTGTCAACGCTCCAGTGTGTCTCAGCCCAGCATGCATGTGCATGTTGATAGGTCTGTATCATCTTGTCTAGAGAGGGAGAAGTTCAGGAGAAGCCTAGAGCTGAGGGTGGGTGTCCATGCAATGTATGCCAGCTGCAGTAGCAGTAGGCAGCATTGAAAGGTTATGAACTTGCTTTCTCTCATTTTTCAGTAAGAATATTACTGGTTTTGTACATTAATAAAGGTTGGATTTTATTTTTTAAAAATTGTGTTAGAACTAGTAAAGTCTCCAGTTAATGGCTAATTGAAAAGCCAGTGTCAGTTTATCATATTGACAGCAAATACGAACACAATGACACCTGTGACATTACTTTATATGACAGGTTTATAATTAGTTCTTTTTCTAGTAACTGGGCAATGTCATCTTGTTCCTGTTGCTCTTACCCTGCCTTTGATCCCACTTCACTTAAAATAGTTTTTTTTCTCTTGTCTTACTGTATTTTGCTTTTAGCAGCCACCTGTGTGCAATCCCAACCTCACTGCCTTAGAAAAGTTTTGAAAATATATCATAAATATTAAAAATTGCTTAAAGAATTAAGGCTTGGAACTAAGCTTGCTGTACGTGTCTTGGAGAACTTTGATTCTAATCTTCTTGAGGCCATTCCTATCTCAGAGTAAGAGGAAAACTAGGTTCTTAGTTCATGCTGCTATTAACCATCTTAACTTTTTCTCCTGTTTGGTCATAAGAATTGCTTTGACAGCATAGACTTAAAAATGCTGACACTTAAAAAATAATAATAAAACCATCTGAAACGGTGAACAAGAAACAACCATTTCCATTATTTGTGCTGATGTTTAAGTTATTTCCTAAACAAGTTCTTGAATTCATCAAGATGAATTCAGTTCCTAAGACTGTCTTCAGAAGAAAAATGTTTAATTTTAAATCATACGCAGTAGCATTAGTTTATATTGAGTAACCAAGGAAAGGATTTATTTCCAACTGTTTTCAGACATAAAGGAGAGAGAATTATTTTAATCCAACTGTGTATTCCCAGCTTGAATTTCTGCCTTTAAAACTGGTATTGCCATTCTTCCTCAAATCACTAAGATTTTAACTTTTTTGTAGCAGACCAAGTTTTAGTTAGTTTTTAGTCTGTCAGGGATACAGTGTCCATTACTAGAAAGAATTATCCTTTTATCACCTGAAAAACATAGAATGTAAAATTGTAAAATTTACAATCATTAATGGCAACTACTCCACTGTATGGTGTATCAGACTATTACATTGCAGGATGTTATTAGGCTTTACCCATTCTCAGATATAGTGACATGACATCAAAATGACAAAAGTGGTCAGGGAAAGCTTATATATCAGTAAATATTTACCTAAAAGATGGCTTGGAGTCCCTTCTATAAGTACAAATGGATGAAACATAAATAAATATGTCAGGACACATCAGTTGAAAAATTGACAATATTTACAGTCCCTAGAGCTTATGCGTTTAAAGTCGTCTTAGTTAAGTATCAGAAGACATCTCCCTGAACACCCAGAAATCGCTTCAATTTTGATTCTCCCCTATTCTCCAAAGAACATGTGTAAAACATGGGTCTCGGTCTCTAAAGTCACTTGCAGTCCCTTAACATAGCCTTGTTGGTATAGATCTGATGCTAGGAATTATGTGATGGCCCCCACTTTTCACACCCTTCATAATCCAGCTCCTGAGCCCCTCTGGCATGGTCAGGGAAAGTGATGTGCAGGCACACGTAACTCGTGCAGCTCTGGAGGTCACTGTAACCCCTGACAGATGCGTTCCCCAGGAGCTACAGTGTGCTCTGTCTTACAAATATGCCTAGACATAGTAAGAAATGCAGCTGGTATTCTCCTAAAAATTGATAAAATTGCGGCCTCAGTGACTTAAGTATGAAATCACTCCTATCTGCTTTGAGATCCTTTATTTAAATATACATGAATCACTGTGAGATTGAATCTGGCCTTTCTTTAACCATTTTCAGCTGCCCTTGCTGGTGGCAGCAAGAAGCACAGCCCAAGTTCAGCAGTTGTAGCATGCAGTGACAC